GGTGAATTAACTCACCAAGGCAGTCAAATGCATGGAAATGATATTATAGTGCACTAACCCTTCAAACCATGCTAGACAAGGGGTATACCTTATAAGTGGGGCAGAAAGGAGTATTTGTTGTATTATAGAGAGGTGGATGCTGAGGAAGCAAGTCATAGCAATGCGGCAATTTAGACCCCATTCTACTTGAAGTAGATGCCTGCATGATGAGGAGATTCTTTAAACTGATTTCCAATACACTGAAATACATTTACAAGTTTATAACATTATAAATGAACTATTAGTTGAAAATATACACTTACCCCAAATCCCATATGCTTCAGATTGGCAAAACCACATTGTGATTGTAGGGCCTCCATGCCATCAACACAACTAGTAGAAGCAATGCCCAAATGCAAATCCAAATCTTGGTTGCCACCTAAACAAGCAACAATTAATCAACTTAATGATATAAGCTAGAAACCATAGAGGGCTTCATAAACACATCTTAAACAAGAAAACGTAGTACCTCCATTATCAATTTCAGAGCTCATCTCCCCTTCATATGAGCTTACTTCAAAGTTAGTCACTGCCTCCGTCCCATTCAGTTTTATGGCAGCCTTATCATACGCCCTGATAAAAACTCATATTGTAAGTAAATATGTTCTGGAAATGCCAAGTAGAGAGGCAGAATTATATGTACAACAGAAATAAATAATGAACTTATGTTTTTAGAACCTTGCAGCTTCTATCTCACTGTCAAATAACCCCAGGTAGATATACCTACAGCCAAATGATATGTGCAAAGCAATAAGAACATGTTATCATAGCTTATTATGATAAGTTGACTACGTAGAAGGATCCAGTTTAATGACATAAAACTATAGAGGGATATCAATTTTAACCAAAAATCAAAGAAATAGCATCTTACTTCTTTCCGAGAAATTGCCCCATTCTAGCCTCCCATCGTCCACATTTGTGCAGAGTAACTCCCCGATACTTCGAACTCCCTCTGGAAAACCCAGTGCTCTGACGACGTAGTATCTGCACAAACTCTTCCTTTGTGAAGTTCTGCATCTGCATATCATTAATAAACACAATGACAATAATGTGATGGGATATCAAATTCATTCTGGTCAAACACTACTGCACCTGCTGAAAATCTTCTTCATAATCGCTGACATTGAAATTAATATCGGCATCTAGTCCACGGAACTTAATTGCAGCACGATCATATGCCCTGATATTAGTAGAAATTCCTCAAGTTACATCCAGCCATTCATTACTTTAAACTCCACACGTTTGAACCACAAGAAGATATATTGCAGGAAGCCCAGAGTAAGACATTAATTACCTGGCAGCAGCATGAGCAGTATCAAATCCTCCTATGAGTTCAAATTTACATCACAAAGTAAGAACAAGTCCATCAAAATGCAGGAGTAAAATTCACTAATTCCACACAACACAAACATTTACTTACCTAAGTAAACTTGTTTCCCACAGTCCCTGCATGCAAATAGGTAGCCATCAGTGTTGAACTTTAGAATTAAATCATATGTCGTGGATTAACAGATAAATCATCTAAGGTGTCTCTTAAATCTTAATGCATATAGACAACCACTTGATAGACATCAGTGATCATTTGTGTTCTTAGATTAGAAAAGAATGTTCAATAGTCTGAGATTCCTCTAAACTGTCAAGTCTGTGGTCACTCCTATTAAGTACTAGTAGCAATAAGGAAGCTAAACAGGTATTAGCATATGGATAAACCATATTCGAATAGCAATTGCTCGGGAAAACTAAAGGACATCGTCCAGAGTGTAAAGGTATCCACATACCAAATGTGGGATTCCCATCTTCCGGTTCTCCTATAGAACGTGACTCCGCGGTACTGAGAACTCCTGGACCTCGGTCCTCTTCTACTCTTCTTCACATGCGGTTTCTGTTGTGGCACAATCATAATCCTCGGATCCGCCATTAAACCATAATTCTGCGGGAGACCCGACCAATCGCGCTGTACGTGTAGCTGATGCTGCAGGAACATCGCCGCCTCTCCCCCGCTCACCGGAAAAAGGTCCTTCGTCTCAAAGCCACCTCGATTCTCACTCTCCTCGCACTCCTCCCTCCTCAGTATACCGAACGCGTAACCGTCGGAGCAGGAGTACTCGTCCTCATCGCCGACAATGCTGCAAGCCTCGGCATTCACCACTGAAGAATTCGAGGTTCCGGAGAGTTCCAGTAGCTTCTCGGACGGCGTCGACTCTCGATCGCCGACCGGTTCCGCATCAGCGAGATTAAGGTCAAACATCGTCGCTAGAGAGAGCTGATGTAATGAAATGAATCCCTACGAAGAATCTGTAATGAGAGATAGATAGAGACAGAGAATGGGGCTGGTGTGAATATATATAGAGAGAGTGAGAGAGAGAATCAGAGGATATTAATGGGGAAAAGAAAGAACGATGAAAGGATTGTTCGAGGCGGGGTGTCTGTATCAGAGGGTGTACGGACAGAAAGAAAGAGAGGGAATCAATCGGAGGTGAAAACGTTTTGTACGTGCTTTAGATTTTGCAGGAGGAAACAACAAAGACCCGAGATAAGGGCGTGGACGCGTGAGATATATACTCCGTATTTCTTAAATCCAGAAATCTGTTACAGGATGCGCCCCAGAATCCCAGACGGTTAGAGCAACGCGCCCTCTTGGAGATTGGGACACTTGTTGGGCATCATACTCTTAACACCTAACACCGCTAACAAAATTATGTTAATTAGAAATCTAACCAGATATAAGAGCTCGTTTGGTAGTTTACACATTAAAACTTTGCATGCAAAATGATTGCATGTAAAGTTTAGGACATGTAAAATTGTTTGCATGTAAAATAAAGATACACCATTTGGTTACCTATGTAATCTATTTTTAAATTACACGCAAAGTCTTTGCAATGTTTGATAACAAAAATAACTTTACATAGTAAAATATTTATAAAAAACTACTCCGTACATCACTTCATGTGTGTGATAGCAAAAATTTGTGGCCATGGCTTTTTCTCCACCAATATGGTACCTGCAGTTGCCGATGATGCACTCGCGAGTGTGCCATGGCGCTGCTCTCCAGCAGTATACAATGGGTCGAGGGGGATCAAAATGTTATTTTTGTAACTATTTGAAACCAACTCATTATACTTGCCGATGACAAATTATATTACTAATTTTTGCTTCCATACATTTGTAAAAAATAAATGTATGTGAAATAGCAGTTTATTTGAATTGAAAGCACAAAGTAGACATTATAAATTGAAAAGTTTAAATTGAAAATTACTTTATTGTCGTAGTTTCAACTACCAAAACAGTAACACTTTGAAGGAATGTAAAAGGATTAAATAGAAATTCAATATTGTCTTAAAAAACTAAATGATAAAAAATTCATAGAAAGTCACTAAAATGCCTCTAATTAGATTTCTCCGTTCAAGACAGCTCGGACATAAATCAACTTCGCCTCTTCGTCTGGCATGAGTAAGAAAGAATCCGTTTTTCCTTTGCTAGATGATATAATTCCAAATGCACGTATCGCCTGCTCCTTACTTAAATCTGGCAGATTCATTATCACCTGTAGTATATGTGGCTTAACATCATCAGCAGCATTAAAACGATCAAAAAATGTTGTCACTTTCTCAAACTGCTTGTTTGATGTAGCACACATTTCGAGAACTGTTTCAATTTTTTTTGGAACACTTCAGCATGTTTATCAAACTCATTCTTCTTTGACTTTTTTGATGGCTCCTCAAATTCCTTCTTGATGGAAATACCAAGAGTCCATTTCTTATTTCTGTTGATATCAGGTGATGAAAAAATATCATCATTCGTAGTATCGAGATCCACAGCTACACCAAAAAAATCATCATGGACAACACTTTTTGGAACATGAGCTCCTTCTTGAGGTGCACTTTCTTTTCCTAAACTAGTCACCATTTCAGCTGGAGACTCACACTTATCCCCAGTTGCCCATTCAGCACCAAATATTATTGCTAGGTCATCATAATAAGGGAATGACTTGTGTCTAAGATGAACTGACTCTTTATGTCCCTAGAATGACGATATTGATTAAAAAATAAGTAAAAGTCACAAATAACGTATAACCATATTTAACACGTGCAATAATTTAGATATAATACCTTAATCCAAGAAGCCCAAACCTCATCATCACAATTAACCATTTTGGTTTCCTCATTCCATCCAAAACCTGAAGCACCCCTCATCATAGAGAATTCCTTATATTGAGTTTTTAAATGCCTTAACCTATTTTTTATATTTGGATCTCCCAAAATATGACAACCAGGGATTTTTGTAGCCATCCACTTCTGCAGCTGCTGATAAAAACCCGTTTTGAATCCATTTTCAGCTTTCCAACCTTGGTTGATCAATTCCAGACAACCCTCAATGAGTATTTTGTCTTCATGAGGAGACCACTGATGATTATTGCGCTTCACTTTTGAACTCGGGGGTGTGATAGTACAATCTTCCATTGTAGACTCTATAACACAAATGTTAAGAACACACAATCATCATGGTGAATACGCAGTCTTGCTTTATATGATGAGTTAATATAAAAAGAAAGTACAACACGTCCTGAAAAAAAAATTATATAGATCGCTAGTATTTTATTATAAATAAAAACAAAGAGTTCTTGCAGCTCATCCACCAAGTGCACACAGAGTGGACAGATTTTCTTAACAAAAAATCATAACAAATAATTAAGATGATTCCTAACAAATAAAAACGTATAAAACCACTAATATGTTTATTAATTCCTATTAGCTCGACGCTCATTCCATATTTCTTGGGCTAAGTTATCCCTAAATGCAGTCCAAGCTGCAGATGGCTCAATATCTTGTATGCTTGGGGCATTCAACAACGGATCAGAATCAGCATAATCTTCCGGCACCTTATCCTCAAGCGGATCCTTTCGCATCTCCCTTCTTATATGATTGTGAAGTAAAGCACAAGCAGTTATGATTCTACAATACGTCTTCACAGGGTACCACGATCTACTACGAAGAATTGCCCATCTCATTTTTAATAACCCAAATGATCTCTCAATGACATTGCGTGCACATGAATGCTTGTAATTAAACAATTCTTCTTTTGTTCTAGGATAATTTTGTGGACTCCATTCTTTTATGTGATACCGTTGGCCTCTATACGGAGCTAAAAACCCGTCTGCATTGCTGTATCCGGCATCACATAGATAGTAGCAACCTTGAGGAACTACAAAGCCATTTGGTCTAGAAATTGCACTTCTTAATACCCTTGCGTCCGCAGCAGAACCTTCCCACCCAGGCAATATGTAAATAAAATGTAAATCCCGAGAACAAACTCCAAGTACATTTGTTGCTAAATCGCCCTTCCTTGTCCTGTACTTGGGCTTTTCTTGTTCAGGGACATTTATCTGAATATAAGTTCCGTCTAGCGCTCCCAAACAATTCTACATATTAAAATAAAATAGTAGTACTTTGTTAGTAATTAGCTTATTTAACCATTTTTTATTTTGAGGTAAGTTCCAGGTAAATAATGTAAAATCAATACCTTAAACCATTTCCAACGATGTTCTTTACAATTTTGAGGCACTGGTTCAGGCTTCTTAAGCAAAACTTCATGTAGTCTCAAGATAGCAAGCAAGACCTTATTAAAGTTTCTGCTTATTGTCTCACCGCTACGCACAAATTCTCTTTTGGCCACTCTTACTTTGGTATGATGAGAGAGTATATAGAGGAATGAAGCAAGCATTTCCTCTATATAGAGTATATAGAGGAATGAAGCAAGCATTTCCTCAACGGTTTCAACCATGTCACACAGCACGTAAAATGCCCTCCTATCCATCCTAATGTTATCTACACATTCTTTATCGTCATCCCAAATCATTGTTCTAAAATTTACTCGTCTAATTTCATACCTCTCATAGGCACTTCCTTTTTGACACCTCTTCCTCTTTCGTAGAATAAAAGTGTCTCTATAATATTCTAACATCGCAAGCACAATGAGTAGGAAGTTTCTAAAATTTAACGCAATAACATAAGCTGCCATGCACATTGTAATTTCGTCTTGTTCTGAGCAGTCCATGGTCCACACTAACACCAAAAGAAATATAACTCCATTTAATCAGTATGTAATACATCTTTTTTATAAAACAAGGGTCCATACTGCACTAGCTTCTTTCACCAACTAAATTGAGGGGTTTGATAGGTTTCGAACTTAAGAGAACAACTTTCAAATTGGAAGCTTTTGTTTTAAGCGGGCTGTGAAATATCTTTAGAAATGATTATATGGCTATGATTATATGGCTTGACTGAAAATTTCAATTTCTAACTTACATATTGAACAAATTATCAAATAATATCACATCATAACCGCAATAACTTGAGGAATACTTAGTATGGGCTCTTTCTGAACACAAAGTATAACTTGGAACTACAACCAAAACAAAATAATACGTATAAAGCAAGCCAATAACAAAAAATTACACAACCAGAAATTACCATCGTAATCACAGAAAAGTTGTTTCAATATAGAATAAAACTCAGAATATTTAATGAATCCAATGACAGAGCAAACCAAGCACACATAACTACAAAACAGGGTAAATACATACATATATATTCGATTATTGGATAGTGTATTTGAGTAATGAAACAGTGCTTAAAACTAAACAATGGCCGCATATAATACAATTCAAACTCATCAAATCTCAAAATACAATTCAACCCTTAAATCCATTCTTCGAATATACGTATATATAGAATAAATCAAAGTTCATTAAAAAAATCAAGGTGTAGAAACTAACCTCTTGGTTAATCTGTAGTCACTAACGCAGATGGAGAAGAGAATCGATGATATGGTTTGACGATTTTTGTTATCTTAAATAGGAGAAAAGATGAGGTTCTTGCCGCCAAGATTTTTTGCTTTGCCGCCAGGGTTTTCAAAGTCCGCCTAGATTGAAATCGTGAATTTCAATGCTCCGTATAAGTATTCACTCTCTTAAAAACGAGTGTAAACTAGTTTACCAGCCTCCCCCCATGTAAAATATTTTACATGGTACAGTGTAAAATATTATTAAAAAAGTGTCCTACAGTTTACATTAAAAAATTAAAACAAACAGTGTAAAATGTTTACATCCCCACACTTTACACGCAAAATGTTTACTTTACACCGTAACAAACGAGCCCTAAGAGTTAAATGGTAGAATGTACACGATACACACGTGGCATAAGTGATAACCACATAAATATTAGTAAATAAATTTTTTCTCTCCTTATTTAAATGATTTTATACAGTTTTGGTAAGTTTTTCTCCACAATGTCAAAGAGACCGTCTAGATGTTGACATTGCAGGGAAAAACATACTAAAATTGTATAAAATCATTCAAATAAGGAGAGATATAATTTATTTGTTAATATTTATGTGGCTATTCCTCATGCCACGTGTGCACCGTGCACATTCTACCATTGGAGATGCTCTAAGTTGAAGTACAAATTGTGTAATGCTAAATATCACAAATAAAATATTGGTTTCAATAGATATCAAGGTTAAAAATAATTTTTTGAACAATCATTCTTTCCCATCTTAAACACATGTGAAGTGTGATTTTTTATGACCGGGAAATCGTGGGCTGTTTCTTTGACTTCCAAGAGATCAAATTAGGACCCAAGAAAATAGCAAAACCAGACGTGGACTGACTACTATCAGGACACCCGGTCCAACCAGCGTTAGAATCAGCTTGAATAGTAGGAGACGACCGATCTGGCTGAAGCAATAAGCCGTGATCTGCAGTACCTTGTAAGTACCTGAAAATGCGCTTAACAGCCAAAATATGTGAAGTACGAGGAGCATGCATAAATTGGGAAACCAGGTGAACAGCACAAGTAATATCAGGTCGAGTCATGGTCAAATACTGTAAAGCACCGACCATACTCCTGTACTCCGTAGGATCTGCAAGCATTTCACCATTGGTGAGAGATAACTTAGTTCTAGAAGGAAGAGGGGTGCGAACAGGTTTAAGAGACCAACCAAACGAAACAGCCAGAGATAAAACAATACGAACAGTAGTAGGTTTGACCACAAGACTAAAAGTTTCAGAGAAATCAATTCCAGCCTGTTGAGTAAATCCTTGAGCTACTAGACGTGCTTTATGTCGCTCAATAGAACCATCAGAATTAAATTTGGTTTTATAAATCCATTTAGACCCAACCACATTTTTGTGATGATTAAACGGAACCAAATCCCATGTATGATTGTCAATTAAAGCATTAAACTCCTCAGCCATAGCCGCCCTCCATTTAGCATCTTTATTAGCAACGGAAAAACAAGACGGATCACATGCCATAATATCTGTTTTAAGAGTAAAAATAGTTTTCAGTTTAAAAATTCCTGATTTAGCTCGTGTTTGCATCGGGTGACCGAGCTGTTTCGGGGGAGAAGGTGGCGGTTGAGGGCTGCTGGGTATGCTGGGAGTGGGCTGGTGGTTCGAGGGACTGTCGGGATGCAGTGGGGTTGGTGGTGGAGTCTCGGGTGGACTGGCTGTGTGCTTGGAGGAAGATGACCGCGGGGTAGCAGGACTGCCAGGCTGCATGGGAGATGGTGGTCGAGGTAAGGTGGCAGTGTGCAGGTTTTCGGGGCTGAGAGAAGATGAGATGGCCGAGATATTGTGATGGGAAATCATCCGGGACGGTGATACCAATGGTATGTAGGCATGCGGTTGTGCAGGGGACATCGAAGTAGTGTTTTTGGACTTAGAAGAAATCAACTCAGAATATGGAAAATAATTTTCATGAAATCTAACATTCCTATTGATGTAAATTTTGCCGGTAAGCGGATCATAACAACGGTAACCTTTTTATACTCAGGAGCATATCCCGGAAAAACGCACAACACTGATCTAGGTGAAAGTTTATTTGCTGAAGTGGCATTAAAGTTTGGAAAACAGGCACACCCAAAAATGTGCATAAAAGAAAAGTCTGGGGAGTGATGAAATAATTTTTCAAAGGGAGATAAGCCATTTAAATTTGGAGTAGGGAGACGATTGATAATATAGGTAGCAGTAAAGCCCACATTTACCCAGAATTTAGCTGGCATTTTTGCCTCAAAAAGCATAGTGCGAGTTAATTCGAGAAGATGACGGTGTTTTCTTTCAGCCACCCCATTCTGTTCAGGAGTGTCAGGACAATATTTTCTAAATAAAATGTCATGCTGAAGAAAAAGATTACGCATACCATGATTATCAAACTCACCCCCTCCATCACTTTGAAAAAAATTAATTTTAGAGTTGAGAAGATTTTCAGCCATTGTTTTAAAATTAATAAAATGTTTTAGAATTTCACTTTTATTGCGCATAGGATATAGCCAAGTAAACCGAGAAAAATTATCAATAAATAAAACATAATATTTAAAACCACTGTCAGACAGAACAGAAGACTGCCATACATTATAATGAACCAAAAAATAAAGGGGCAGTAAATTTATGCCAAACTTCTTGAAAAGATAACCGTTGAGATTTTCCTAATTAACCGACAAGAAATACAATCATGAGAAAAATTAGAATTACTAAAAATAGAACCAGACTTCTTAAGTTTATCTCAAATACGACTGCCATAGTGTCCCAACCGCCGATGCCAGACATGTCCCGGAGCAACATGAGTAGCGAAAGCAACGGATGAGGGATGAGGCAAGGAAATAGGATAAACGCCACTTTTATTAGAAGTTTTAAGAAGCACTTCCCCCGAATTGTGATCCTTAACACAAACAGAATGCTTATAAAAAATCAAAAAACAATTATTATCGGTACATAATTTTTGAATGGATAATAAATTATATTTAAGATGAGGAACATGAAAAACAGATTTTAAATGAAGGGGACGCGGCGTAGGAGATAAAGCTAATTCACCAACAGTCATAACAGGTAAATTAGAACCATTAGCAACCGTCACAGTTAATGGTCCAGAATAAACAGATTTATTGTCTACAATACCTTCGTTAGGGGTCATATGAGCGGAAGCGCCAGAGTCAGGATACCAAACAGTAGAAGAAGATTCTCAGGTAGGGACGGCCAAGGCAGGTGCAGAAGGTTGGACAAAACGGGATGAACAATTAACAGCAGAATGACCTGGTGAGTGATAGATTTGACAGACGATGGGAGGAGGTACTGAACCAAAATTATTCTCAAAGGGTGAAGCTCCTGCAGAATCATAGTAAGTACAAAAAATATATGGTGCAGAAATATAAGACAATGACTTAACAGAATTACAATTGACTGTACCCGGTATACCCATCATCTGTGGCTGTGGAGGTGCTTGACCGTAAGCCCTGTTTGGCGACTGCTGTTGTTGTCCAACACCATGGAACTGCTGCTGG